CCTTCTCTTACTCCATCAATTTCTATTCCTGTAGTTAGGTATTGAAATTTTAGCAGCCGTTGACAGTGGGCCTATTTTCTATCCTTTATTCAGTTTTACACCTAGAAGCTTCTCAATTACATCATAGGAAACAGACAACTATTTATAGACAGGGCGCCGGTTAATTACTTGTAAAAATACTGATTTATGTTGCAAAATCAAAACATGAGAGCAGGATAACTCGAACAATCTGAGTTCCTGCAATCATTTTTTATGTTAGTTATCAATTTTATAGTAGTTTGAGTTTATGTGACAAAGGACTTCCTCATTCTTCCAGTGCCTTGCCTTTGTTTTTTGTGATTTTTCAAATCAAAATTCTATAAGTAACAAAGAATGGTGGCATCTTATGGTGAGCGGTACTAAAAACAACTTGTCCCACTTACTTTTTAGAGGTGGTCTCTAGCTCTTTGTTGAATCGGAAGACAAAAATACTTTTCTTGTTGCCCACCTGCCACTAATTTGTTACTTGAGACAAAAATTCAGTTTTGGCAGATGGGAAGTGCTGGAGCATGCACATGTCGTTTGAGTTTGTCTTGGTGAGGACACCTTTATTATGAAGGTATCAGACAATTAGAGAGTGGAGTTTGTGTGCCTTAGTTCTTTCTTATTTGCATAGTATTTGGTCATCCCTTGTGTATTCTGTTTACAGTTTGTATTTTGTAATGAAAAAGGTATGGATATTGTCCCATTACTCAGCAACGTGAACAATTCAATCAAATGCAGCTGGTTTGTCTATAATCAGCATATCAGCACCGTGTTTCTCTAATTTTTCTGGTCTAGAAATATGTTTAAGTAGTCCTCCTACTCATACTGCCCATGCTCGAGGAAAATTGAACAAAATAATACTTGGTCAGTGCATTTTTTTCCCTGCTAAATTCATATATGCAGTTGTATGCACTTAGTCTGCCACATCCATGTAATATGCGGAGAAATTGTGCTCATGCCTTTATCTGCACAGGTAAATGCAGAGACAATTACAGTGATTGGGGATGCTAAGGGGGCCATATGTGATGCAGTACAGACGTACAAAATTAATCTCCTTGTTTTAGGTGATCGTGGCCTTGGGAAAATCAAGAGGTCAGTTTTCTATTTTCTGATGACCGTAATCTTGTGTTATCTTTGCATCTGCAAATTTTTATTCGCTGCTGTGAAATTCCATTGTGAATTAGCTTTGAAATTTTCGTGCAGAATCCATATGAGATACATTGTTTTTTTTTNACAAAATAAAAAGTTATAGTTTTTGTTACGACCTTTCATACATATATATATATATATACACACGCAAATTATCCATTCAAAGGATATGGGGTTTACGAGTGTTGTTTTCACCCTTCTCTTACTCCATCAATTTCTATTCCTGTAGTTAGGTATTGAAATTTTAGCAGCCGTTGACAGTGGGCCTATTTTCTATCCTTTATTCAGTTTTACACCTAGAAGCTTCTCAATTACATCATAGGAAACAGACAACTATTTATAGACAGGGCGCCGGTTAATTACTTGTAAAAATACTGATTTATGTTGCAAAATCAAAACATGAGAGCAGGATAACTCGAACAATCTGAGTTCCTGCAATCATTTTTTATGTTAGTTATCAATTTTATAGTAGTTTGAGTTTATGTGACAAAGGACTTCCTCATTCTTCCAGTGCCTTGCCTTTGTTTTTTGTGATTTTTCAAATCAAAATTCTATAAGTAACAAAGAATGGTGGCATCTTATGGTGAGCGGTACTAAAAACAACTTGTCCCACTTACTTTTTAGAGGTGGTCTCTAGCTCTTTGTTGAATCGGAAGACAAAAATACTTTTCTTGTTGCCCACCTGCCACTAATTTGTTACTTGAGACAAAAATTCAGTTTTGGCAGATGGGAAGTGCTGGAGCATGCACATGTCGTTTGAGTTTGTCTTGGTGAGGACACCTTTATTATGAAGGTATCAGACAATTAGAGAGTGGAGTTTGTGTGCCTTAGTTCTTTCTTATTTGCATAGTATTTGGTCATCCCTTGTGTATTCTGTTTACAGTTTGTATTTTGTAATGAAAAAGGTATGGATATTGTCCCATTACTCAGCAACGTGAACAATTCAATCAAATGGAGCTGGTTTGTCTATAATCAGCATATCAGCACCATGTTTCTCTAATTTTTCTGGTCTAGAAATATGTTTAAGTAGTCCTCCTACTCATACTGCCCATGCTCGAGGAAAATTGAACAAAATAATACTTGGTCAGTGCATTTTTTTCCCTGCTAAATTCATATATGCAGTTGTATGCACTTAGTCTGCCACATCCATGTAATATGCGGAGAAATTGTGCTCATGCCTTTATCTGCACAGGTAAATGCAGAGACAATTACAGTGATTGGGGATGCTAAGGGGGCCATATGTGATGCAGTACAGACGTACAAAATTAATCTCCTTGTTTTAGGTGATCGTGGCCTTGGGAAAATCAAGAGGTCAGTTTTCTATTTTCTGATGACCGTAATCTTGTGTTATCTTTGCATCTGCAAATTTTTATTCTCTGCTGTGAAATTCCATTGTGAATTAGCTTTGAAATTTTCGTGCAGAATCCATATGAGATACATTGTTTTTTTTTGTTTTTTCATATGAGATACATTGTAAAAGCTGATATCGTGGATACTTTTGTGACTCCTGGAATATATCTTGCAAACTTCTTCTTCTTATGATTTCAACATGCTTGGTATAACACATGATATATTGAAAATTACTAAGTCAATGGTGGTTACAGTCCCATTACTCCATGGCCAGAAGGGTTATCTCAATTTCCATAAAGAACATAAAAGTTTGTAGTGGCTAGTTCTTTTTTTTTTTTGGGTTATTTTTAGGATACCTACCATCTTCCGTTTGCTGTTTTCTCTTTGACTTGCCTATTCCTTCATTGGCAAATCTGTCACAGTGAGGAAACTTTCCAATGTGTTGTAAATTTGATCTTCATAGAGACTGTTGAATGCAGTCACATTAGTATATAGCAGTACAGGTTACCTTTCAGTTCTTTTTGATGTGTATAGTTATTTAGATAAAGCAATGGTAAGTGTCAGATTATTCTGAATGTACGAATCTTGTGATGGGTCTTTGATTGGTGTGTGAGTGTTTCTATGTTTGTGATCCTTCATGAGATAGTTCTAAGATGAACATGCTAAAGAGTTTATTGCTTACCCCTGCCTATCACTTACTTGATATCTTCTACGAGTGATTTATTTGGTCAACATTTATTGCACTCCAGTAACTCGTATCTTTTCTGTTGGAAATTGAAGAAACAAAATACTCGAGAGATTTTGCTAAACCTTGCAGTCCAACATATGTATTGTAATATATTTTAATTTGTTCATACAGGGCTCTTCTAGGGAGTGTGAGCAACTATTGTGTTCATAACGCCAGCTGCCCCGTGCTTGTTGTGAAAAAACCAGAATCACAGTAATTTTACTAGAACTTGGATGTACATATGGTAGAGTGTTCTCTTGTAATTTTTAGATGACTATTTGAAGATTGGAGAAAAGGATGTATAGTTTGCTGTGAGACATAAGATATATTGCGTTTATCAACTTCATTGTCACTTCCTTCTATGTTTTGTAAAATGCAGTGATGCCTAAGTTTGGTTTGTATTTGCTTACAAACGAACCTTTGTAAGACAAGATATGTGTGATACCATTTGAAAGAAATCCATGTAACCATTTGACCCTGTATACCACAAACATAGCAGTACATCATCCAAATACACGATTAAGTGTGGCTGCCAACCGAACTCCACCTTGAGCTAACCGCATATTGACAATTGGTAAACGGGACAGGAAGTAGTCATCTGCAAAACAATTTCTCAGATTATACCCTACTCTGAAAAACAACACCACATTTAATTATATTTGTTAGAAAGAAAAGCACGTATGACTTACCTTCTAGTACCGAACCTTCACTCACACCTTTATATGCCCAATTACAGGCTGCTTTTATACTTTCAGTTGCATATCTGCAAGAAGTCCATAAACTTCATTTAGCTGTGTGTATGTGTGTTTGTGTGCGCAATGGGTGCACACCATTGTTCAGGCTGAAGTTGCCTCAAGGACTTAAACTAAGAGGTTGCCATGTTTCTGTCCTAGGAGATGTCTAAACTACTTTGGAATAGTTGATTGTTGAAGGGAACCTGGCCTATGTCTGTATCATGGGTTTTTTTCCCAATTACTGAATAGTAGAACTTACATGTCTGGGCAGGCTGTCATGTTACGGCTGCAGGTCTCCCATGTCTTAACTTGATCTGCCCAAGTAGTCTGTCAAGGGAGGAGAATACATTATGACTAATGAAGGGAAAACAACAACCTTTTAAAGACTTCTAAGTCTAATTTAGATAGAGGACAACTGCAGAATGCAGAGTTATATACCGTAATATTCTTCTGAATTGCGTTGATCAGTCCTTCTGTGTTAGAATCATATGACCTTTTTTCTGAAGTCTCAATTATGCTATCATCCCATACCTGTATGCTTTCACATAAGATTAGAGTTCTGTGTCAAAACAGATTGTGGTAAACACGGTTTCAGATTGCTCCAGAAGCTTACATGATGGAGAACTGCTTTCCGCGTGAACCAGTGAACGTTGATTGTATTGCCTCCTTTGTCAGATGTGAATCCTACATGAAGCGGCTGCCATGGACCAGTTTACAGGTATTTAGATGTTTAAACTACATTAGACTTGCAGATACAACCACAAATACATCCGCATATGTAAATGTCATCCGATAAGTTGTGGTTTTGATTAGCATACCTGATGAATGTCCCCCATTAAATGAGAAAGGAAGAGAAGTGCTTCTGTGAGATTATCTGATGATTACCCAGTTCATTGCCAAAAACTTTGGTTAGTGAAGTTCGAAAATTGGGCAATCAATCAATAAATCTATTCAAAAGCAGTACCTTATGGCAGAGTAAAGGGTGATTTTCTTTGGAAAAATGATTAGCAATGATGGACACAAAGAAGAGGAGAAAAGGAGAAGGTAGTGAGGTTTGATTGAAGGGTTTACACTGAGAAGCAGCATTGCCATAGCCGAGAAGCTGGCTAGTGTAATTGTTGATTGCCCCTGCTACACATCTATCTTTCACTCCATTTTCGTCTTTGCAATCCCCTGCATATAATTTCAACATGAAACTCAGGGCTATTTATTTTTCTTGAGAAATTTGTAAGGGTGTACTAGTGCATGAGGCTCCCGCCATTACGGGGTCTGGACAGAGTTAAATGAACATAGTTTTACCCCTACAAATAGAGAGATTGTTTCCACATTTCTTGAGAAATTAATAATAAACTTAAATCTTCATTATTGGGGTTGGTGAATCCAGACACGACCCACGAATAGATACAAAACTAACATGGAGTTATAATTTAGTCATATAGGGTTTGAGTAGACGGGTCAAACCCATCAAAAAAGGGTTCAACATAAGCTCTATTAAATATGACTTATACATGACACAAACTCAACACTACACAAATACGACAATACACAGATTATGCATGGGTTGGGTATGCGTTAAGCGGCCTTAATCATCATCATTCATTGGACTGCAGATTTCTCCATCTTTAGCACTCAAGTTGAGAATGATTTGTGCAGGATTAAACTTCTAAACACACCCAAAAATCTCCTAATAACCAGACATGTTTAGAATTACTATTCTGGATTAAAAGGTTAAGGAACTCACTGCTGTACAGGTAGGTGCAGAGATTATCAGGGGTATCAATGTAATGAAGAGCTGATGACCAACGATACCGGAACTTGACCTGGTCTGCCCATGAACAAACACTTCCCAAATCATTATCAGCAGATTCTGGTAAAAGTTGCTTCACAGCATCTGCTGCAGCTTCACTCAAGCGTGCCTGTGAGAACAAACACACAAAGACAAATATATCAACTCACAACACATAAAAGAGTGTGTATTTACACACAGTGGAGATGAGTTAAGACCCTTACCTGGGCAATCTTACAAACGGTGAGATGGCCATCAACACCCCAGCAATGAGCAACTGGACAGAGAAACAAGAAGGAAACAAGAGCTAGTGTATGAACTCTACAAAACTCCATTTCTGCTTCTCTCTCCAGCAAAAAAAATAAAAACTGGTGGACTAAAGGTGCCTACTTTATATCACATTGTCCAATATATATAGCTTGTAGCCATGAATGACCAAAAAAGAAGGTGCCCAAAACGTTTTATGTGACGGGTTTGGTGTGAACTGTATGAAGAAACCAATTTTGGACAGTTGTTTGCATTAATCTTCTTCCGTTAGTGGTAGTACTTATCTAATTGGTACCGGGGAAAAAACTTTTTGATACGATACTAAACATATAATCTAGAGTCTTAGATTTTAGGTTATTATTGATTATAAAAATAATAAAATAAAATAAAATAATTCAACACGCGTAATATTTTTGTTGGGTGGAAAAGGTGTCAAGTACGAAAAATAATTTTTTGGTATTATTATCGGGTCAATTTGATTAGAAGTTGACGTGTGTGGCATCATTTTCAACAGCAGAGATTGGACGCAATGATGAGTTTTTGTTCACACCTTCTTGTTGAATTGGCAGAAATAACCTAAGGTGGTGCAATGAGAAGCTTTGGCTGAGAGGTGGTTATTTGGTCATTTTGGATAAAGCAGAGAAGATTAATGGTGTTTGGTTTATGGTACGTGCTTGCAAAGGAAAGGAACTTAAAAAAGATCGAAAGCATCGGGATGAAATGATGGGGAGGGTGTGATTGTAACGTTGATTGCATTCTTAAAGACGGTGGTATATACCAAAAACGGTGAGATATTCTATGGGAGCGTAGTTAATTTCTGTTTTTAATACAGAGATAATCGCAAGGTCACAATATTAACTTTTCACTTGTCACTGTAGTTAATTTTTTTTTTTTTTTTTTTTGTTTAATGGTTATGGTTTTTAAACAAGTTTACGTGTATTTTGATTAATTCCTTCCTCGATTAGGTTAAAAATAAATCATTCATAACGGAACTAAGATATTTATGAGAGATAAATCTCTTGTGATCTAGTAGCCTCAAAGATTTGTCATGATTCAAATTCAATACCGTCTCGATTTATAACTCGTTTATGTTATTATCCCTAGCTGGCTTTCTTTTTGGTCAGGGATTTTTACATAGAAGGGGACGAGATTTGAACTTGAGAAAAGTTAAAAGAATAAAGTTAATATGAGAATAAACATCATCTTGATATGTTTTGTCAAATATTTCACCTTTTCTTTGTCATGGCATGGGTTAATGGTAGTGTCGTCAGTGGGTGGGGGATAATGCTGTTCGAGGGGTTGGTTATGGCAGTAAGTTGTGATTAGCTGGGACGGAACCAGAATTGTATTTTGAAGAATCAATAATGATATAAAGAAAAATTTAATTCAATAGAATTATTTAACGGTTGTTGTCAATGATAAATTTTTATTTATAAAAAACTTATTAAATTTATTTTTTATATAATGGCATGGAAAAAATTATTTTTGAGCACAAAACTTAAAAGTGGTTCATGCTATCGTAAAAATTCATTTGTGATAATCTCCTCTTTGTTTTCTTGTTTATAATGTAACATTGTGTCTATAAATAAATCAAGTCGCAAATAATCTATAATGAAATACAATACAATTCAAATCTAAAAAAATAAATAAAATGACTTTTATTTTTTGCGATTGATATCGTTTTAAAATTAATCTGATGATTAATATTAACACTCCAAATTTAATAGGAAAAATCTATGAAGCATGGATATTTCGTTGAGGTTGATGTACCCGTATCGGATACCGTATTGAATACGATACTTGTCGAATACTCGAGAATACATCTTCTACGTATCTGATAATAATTAAATATTAGAATACTTCAAAGATAATTTTGTAATAGAGCAACGTATATAATTTTTTAGTTGAACTTTTAACATCTCTTTTCGAATTCACTTACCATACAATACATTAACAAAAAATTCATATTACTTCAAAGATACATGAGTGTTTTTCAAATATTATCTACAATTACATATCAAAAGACCATATAGTAAAACTATTACATTGCAATCTTAGCAAAAATTACTTCTAAATATTAGGTAAATATTAGCTTTGATTTTTTTAATTAGTCCCTTCACTTTGTGAATATACCACAACGACACGATATATATTTTCTTAAAACTAAAAAAAATTACTAATTTTTCTTATTATATGTTAAAGAACTACCAAAATATATAAGTGTTAAGTTGGTTAAAAATAATAAATATATTTTATTATAGTCGTATCCTGGTCGTACCCGTATTCTACTTTTTTAGACTTTGTCCTATCGCTGTATCCGTATCCCGTATCTGTATCTGTATCTGTATCCGTGCTTCACAAGGAAAAATGAACCCTTAAGAGTGTGTTGAAAATAACTTTTTAAAAATGTTTCTAAAATTTATAACTTCTCATAAATATTTTAAAAAAATAAAATAGCGTTTGAAATCGCCTTACCACTACCACTACCACTACCACCACCTCCACCGCCCCAACACCATCACCACTGCTACCCTATCACCACAACTACTACCACCACCACCATTCCCCCATCACTACCACCATTAGTATTATCACTGCCGCCACCGTCACTGCCATCACCACCACTTTTGCTATAACAGTTACCACCGTCGCTGCCACCACCTTTGTCGCCACCTCCACCACCACCACCACTACCATACTCATCGCCCCACCACCTTCGCTATTGCCACCCTACCACCACCACCTCTTCCACAACAACCACCACTATTACCCCCACCACTCACCATCACTCTACCACCACCACCCCTCACCACCACCCCCCACCATCACTATCACCACCGCTGCTATCGCCACCTTACCACTGTCCCAACACTACCTATACCACCATTATCTTCACTACCGCCCCCACGACCATCACCACTACCACCATCACCATTTTCGCCACTGTCACCACCTCATATCCACCACGACTGCACCACCTCCAAGCTCATCACCACTGTTACTGCGCCACCCCCACCCCCACGCCACCCGTATCACAACCACCACCACCACCATTACCATTATCATTGCCATCCACTGTCGATTGTTACCACCATCGTCCAGTGTCACCACTTACCACTATCGTTATCTTATTTTTATATTTATTACCACTACCACCATCATCCAATTACAACCGCTGCCCACCGTCAGCACCCACAACCAACATTGTTGCCCACCATCATCTCTACCATCACTATCGCTGCCACCACCTTACCACTACTGTCACTGTCCCACCATCATCCTTACTGTCCCACCACTACTATCATCGTTGTCACCCACGACTGCCACCATTAGCACAGTCGTCACCCATCACAATCATCAATGTCTCCCACCATCATTTGCTCTCACTATAATCGGTGCTTAAATTCCTTTTNCACCACCACCCCTCACCACCACCCCCCACCATCACTATCACCACCGCTGCTATCGCCACCTTACCACTGTCCCAACACTACCTATACCACCATTATCTTCACTACCGCCCCCACGACCATCACCACTACCACCATCACCATTTTCGCCACTGTCACCACCTCATATCCACCACGACTGCACCACCTCCAAGCTCATCACCACTGTTACTGCGCCACCCCCACCCCCACGCCACCCATATCACAACCACCACCACCACCATTACCATTATCATTGCCATCCACTGTCGATTGCTACCACCATCGTCTAGTGTCACCACTTACCACCATCGTTATCTTATTTTTATATTTATTACCACTACCACCATCATCCAACTACAACCGCTGCCCACCGTCAGCACCCACAAGCAACATTGTTGCCCACCATCATCTCTACCATCACTATCGCTGCCACCACCTTACCACTACCGTCACTGTCCCACCATCATCCTTACTGCCCCACCACTACTATCATCATTGTCACCCACGACTGCCACCATTAGTGCAGTCGTCACCCACCACAATCATCAACGTCTCCCACCACCATTTGCTCTCACTATAATCGGTGCTTAAATTCCTTTCACTTTCCTCTATCTTTGTGATTTGGTTTTAGGTGTGAATACAAATTTATTTATTGTTGATCATTTTTTTTATTACTCTGTACCTTCAAGCACTGGAAATAACTAGTAATTTTATATGATACCATAATAAAAGTGAATTATAAGTGAACCAACTACTTTTGATATAAATCATATTTGTATCCCTGTTTTTTTATAAAAAAATTACTTGTTTTTCCTCTATGTCAACAAAATAATTCAACAAATGCCTTCATTAGTATAAACGACACTTATCTATGTGATTACATTCTAAATGATTACTAAATATTAAGTCATCGATCTTTTTGAATACATTAAATGAGATACTTACACATTAGGTATTTTGAAAACTAGAGATTAAAAATAAAACTAATATTATCAATTAGAATGATTTATGATTGGATAGAGAACAGAGTCCTCTACGTTAAAGACCAAACGACCTTACGTTCCTAACAGTTGTGAGTTCAGACGTAGTAAACTTCTAAGCGAGAATCAAGATACCCCATGGGCGGGGCATCTTGGCCAGCAAGAGACCTTGACTCTCCTTTCTCAAAGTTTTTATTGGCTCTTAAAATTATAAGGGGGATAATGAGAATTTTTACAATTTTGGGGTGGGGCGGGGTAGAGGAAGCCATGGCACTCCTAGGCCTCCTCATAATTTCATCTTTGGTGATTAGGGATGTCAAAATATAACACGACTTATTTATAAGACACGAAAATTAGAGGTTTTAAGTCTTCTTTAAGTGACCTGTTTAATAAATAAGTGATTGATATTTCAAGATTAATAAACAAATCTGGTTGGTATGAGTAAAATCAATTAAAAGAAATAAACAATGTGATTCGTTTATATACTAGTTATACACGACACGAGTTCGATTTGACACGGTTTGTTAGACACAAATTAATAAATGAATCAGGTATGAGTGAAATATTTTTTAACACGAACTCGCTTCACCCTCAATGATTGATAAACGCGATTGTGATATTTGCGGTTGGTGTTGGGGGCGGGGTTATGTGCAGATGAGTCACCCCAGAAGATGGTCACTATTTTTGAAATTGCATTTATTTATTTTTTTATCAAAATATTCTCTAAAATTCATCCAAATCAGTATTTCATATAAAGGGTATTATAGTCATTCCATAATTCACATAAATAGTACTTTAATCATTTCATTGGTGCCGTTATAAAGAAAAAAAAAAGGATGGACAAGGAAGGAAGTTCCACTTACATTATTGATACGTGAGGGGATTTACCTATTGTTTGGACAAACCTTAGGGCACGCACATGTAATTAATCATGCTTTAATCTAAACCATAATGAGTAGGGTTATTGTCACCCCTTAAATCTCTTTTTTCACCTCATTTAATCGTCTTACTTCAAACCATTAAATTCAATCTATCTATACCAACCCGTTTATACTTATTCAATTAAGCAATTAAATATATGTTAAAGAAATTGAAACAAAAATAGTAATTAAAAAGAAATTTCAATGTTTTGATGTGATTTATATTATTTCAAGGTATTTTGAGATATTTTGATATATTTTCATTAATGTCGTTAAAATAATTTGAGCTGTTTTAAGATATTTTGACATATTTCGACTAATATTTTAAAATAATTATTAATTTTTATTTTGTATTTGAAATATTTTCATATCCAAATAATACATCAAAACAAAATTTTGATCATTGCCTATATAATAAGTTGAAATAAAAATTGAATAAATTTAATTTTTAATTAGTGAATATAAATGAGTTGAATTTAGTAATTAATAGGGTGGGTATAGATGGTGAACTTAATAGTTTAAAGTAAAAGAATTAAATGAGATAAAAAAAAAAAAAGAGATTTAAGGGGTTAAAATAGTCCTACCCTACGATAATAGCCTGTTTGAATTTTTATTTATTTTTTATTTTTAGGATTTGGATTAAATTTATGAAGCCTTTCCAAACCAAACCCCAATGATATGTACATGAGGTTCTAATAAAAACCTTATCCAATTTCATATTTAGTAAGTGACATAAATTCATATGGGCCCATAGATTTTGTCAAACCAAGTTACTCAATTTTAACTAAAATGTCTATTATTAGGTGAATAGAAGAATGAATTTTTTAGATAAAGTAATCTTTTTATTTACAAATTCAATCTCTCATTTCCGAAACTCCTATACATAGATTTTAATCCACTATTCATTACAGGGCAATATTCATTTATCTCACAAATCTCGGGCCTCAAATCTAAGACCAAACATAAGTTTAGAAGATTCATTGAATCACAGATTTTTTTTTTGGGAGGGGAAAATGGAAGAGAGAATAAGACTTAAACTCTTGATGTCAAGAAGACAAATTTTTTACAAAACAAAGAGTACTATTAGACCAAAGGTTCATTAATATTTTTCACAAAACTCACCCTACAAATCGCACCTAAACTCACATATCAAACAAGTTAGAAAAGAACTAGGCTTTGACTTTCAAATCATACCAAGATAGGTTGTAATTATCTACAAAAGTGATAAATTTTTTTCTTTTTTTTTGTAAAATAACTCATAAAAATTATAAAAATACCCATTAAAATAGTAAAATTTAGAAATATGATACCGACAATTTTCTTTTTTATTACCTTAATCAAAACCCTTAACTTAAAAAGACGAAAACGATAAGTAGCCCACTAAATAATATAACAAGATGTAGGAGTTTACATTTCAACATTATCAGATTTCTTGTCACTTAAATATCTTGTTAAGAGTTGCTGCCAATCGAACTCCAGCTTGAGCTAACCGTAAGCTGACAATTGGTAAACGGGACCGGAAGTAGGCATCTGCAAGAAGACTCTTCATTATTTCTAGTATTCTAAACGATAGTCCAGTGTAGGAGACTTTCGTCATTGTGACTGTACAAGACTCTCATCACCACAGATCCGACTCTTTAGCAGAACGTATTTTCATACCTTGTAGGACTGAACCTTGCCTTACTCCTTTATATGCCCACTGACAGGCTGCTTTGACACTCTCAGACGCATATCTGCAGTAAGCACATACACAATTTCGTTTTTAAGTTTTTGTACACTAAATCACATCAAGAGGGTACTGAGGGAAACAGAAAGAGATCTGGTACCGTCCTACGAAGTTGCCAAAATTTAAAGTTAGGATGTTTGAATTTATAATTCGTCTTTATTACCACTTAAACTTCCCTTAAGAGTTTTTTTTTGGTTCCACTGCCGGGTGACAAGTTGATCTGTCTAGTGTGATCATCTATGACACACGGGAACCACTTACATCAATTTATATTGTCCCTTTTGATCATAACAAACTGACACAAAACTAAAACGACAACTTCAAGAATGAAATTCGCAATCACACAAATTAAAACCTTGAGAGACTAAAGTGAGGAAGCTACAAGATTGACAACCAAAGTGACATAAAAACCGTAAATACTCGATAGGCATATTTTATTCTGGTATATATCTTGGCTACTTGTTAAATGTAGATGAATTGATTGGACAAAGATTCAGAGCTTAAACATACATATTTGGGCATGTTTTCTGCCTAAGGGGGCAAGTCTCCCATGCCTTAACTTGCTTTGCCCATATAGTCTGTCAAGAAAAAAGTGCAGTGTCTGAAAAAAAATGAGCCTAAAATATGCAAGAAGATGATAAAAGGTTAAGACAATCTAAAACAGTGTATAGCTTGAGATTGATATACCGTAATGTTCAGTTGAATATTATTAATGACTTGATTAACATCTGCAGGACAGAACGTTTTCTCTTCAGTTTCAATNTAGCTTGAGATTGATATACCGTAATGTTCAGTTGAATATTATTAATGACTTGATTAACATCTGCAGGACAGAACGTTTTCTCTTCAGTTTCAATTATGCTGGAGTCCCAGACCTGTACAGTATTGCTTATCGTGTCAAAACTTACTCAATTAACATCCAACATTTTATAGTCGTGTATATAGTTAGATTTGCGCCTTGTCGAATTCATGGTGTACATGTTTGTTTAGTCATGTTCACATTGACCTGNCTTGATTAACATCTGCAGGACAGAACGTTTTCTCTTCAGTTTCAATTATGCTGGAGTCCCAGACCTGTACAGTATTGCTTATCGTGTCAAAACTTACTCAACTAACATCCAACATTTTATAGTCGTGTATATAGTTAGATTTGCGACTTGTCGAATGCATGGTGTACATGTTAGTTTAGTCATGTTCACATTGACCTGTGTATTTAAGGTGGTTTCATGTGTCTGTGTTTACTATTCAAAACCGATAAGACTAAACTAAACCCGCTAATTCTATGTAGAATTCATGTCATATTTGCTGGTCGTATCTAAAATGGTTAGGCTTGCGAAATCCACATGAGGAGAGATCAGAGTGGTCCTCTCCTNAGTTTAGTCATGTTCACATTGACCTATGTATTTAAGGTGGTTTCATGTGTCTGTGTTTACTATTCAAAACCGATAAGACTAAACTAAACCCGCTAATTCTATGTAGAAGTCATGTCATATTTGCTGGTCGTATCTAGAATGGTTAGGCTCNTTTACTATTCAAAACCGATAAGACTAAACTAAACCCGCTAATTCTATGTAGAATTCATGTCATATTTGCTGGTCGTATCTAAAATGGTTAGGCTTGCGAAATCCACATGAGGAGAGATCAGAGTGGTCCTCTCCTCCAAGATTAATGCAATGTTTCTATGTACTTACGTGATGGAGTACTGCTTTCCTGTTGTACCAAGTGACATTAATGGTATTACCTCCCTTGTCTGAAGTAAATCCTACATGAAGTGGCTGCAAGGAATAGTTCACTGAGTAACATTCTGCTTATTTGCATTCACTGATAAACTGTTATGACAACATCAACATCACAGCACACCAACATTCTCATAAATTGTGTTCATGATCATTATAGTACCTGATGAATGTCTCCTATGAAATGAGAAAGAAAGAGAAGTGCTTCTGTCAGATTATCTGATGAGTTCATTGAATGCATTAGGAAAAAGGGGAAAAAAAAGGGTTAGTCAAGTTTGCAAATTCGGCATAGCTTAGTCTTTACTAGTAATGATTGTGATGAAAAGAAAATAAGAACAGAACAAAGGCGACCGTGGGAGGTAAGGTTTAGAAGGGTTTACATTTGGCAGAAGCACTTCCGTAGGTTAGAAGTTGGTCAGTGTAATTGTTGATTGCTCCTGCTACACACCTGGACTTCACTCCACTTTGATCTTTACAGTCCCCTATATATTTTAAATGACAATTCAGAACTAAATCGATTTTTGAATAAGGAAAAACTCCCTTAAATTTTTAATTTTCTCTATGACAAGTAAATTTCATTAACGAACTAGAGAAAAGAAGAGAGGTCTATCCTCCTGGGGGTGACCATCGGAAAAACAGCGAAACACTCAGCTTCAGGGTGGAATATCTACAGCGATTTACTAGCAAAATGAGCATAGTAAGTGTTGAACATATGATTGAAGTGATTGATGATTAGCACGGCGATTGTCGGATTCTTGTTCATCTTAATCCAAACAATTGCTGGTTGTGCTTGTATTTCGCTTTATATATGGGTCGTGTCATGCAAATGCAAACAATTGTTGATAGAAGATGCATGCATGTAGGCGTTTGGCCGAACCATTTTAAAATAACTACTGCAACAAAGAAATTTATGATGTATGAGGTAAGCACTAAGGAGCCTACTCTTATACAGGTAGCTGCAAAGATTAGTAGGCGTATTAATGTAATGCAGGACCGATGACCATCGATAACGAATCTTTACTCTGTCTGCCCATGAACATAAGCTCCCCAGGTCATTGCCTGCAGAAACAGGCAGCAATTTCTTCACCACATCTGCTGCAACTTTGTTCAATCGTGCCTGTAACACACACAAATCCATAATGTTAATTTTATAGAGAGAGAGACAGAGAGAAAGAGAGAGATCAGAAATATTGAATACAGAATTCAGAATTGGGATAACGGAGAGAAGTAGAATGAGAGAGAGAGAGAGCCTGAGCAATCCTGCATACAGTGAGATGACCATCATTTCCCCAACTATGAACAACAGGAGAGAGAAGGAACAATGACACTAGAACTAACACAAGAACTCTACAATTCTTCATTATGTTTGTCTAGGTAGGCTCTTACAAGTTACAAACATATAGCCATAAAGAGACCAAACCACTTTGGAGAAAAAGGTACGTGTGAATTCTTCTTATGAAACAATATGCTGCTTCTTAGGAAAAAAAATTACTTATGCATTTATGTCCATGGTCTGTCAAGGCAAATTAACTTATGTTTAACATGAAGAAAATCAAAGTTATTGCATTTATGTCCATGCTCCTCCATTGTGTTTCTTCGCTATGAACAAGGTTGCTCAAGACCTACCCCAATTTAGAGTAAGTCATAAGTTGAATAATAGTTGATGATACTTAGAATAAGTTCCATGTATGAGTTCAGAAGCGGAGGTCAGATAAGCAGGTTAGGGAAGGCACATAGAGCTCAGAAGATCAGAGTTAGAGCTTCCCCCCCCCCAGACGCGACAACAACGGAAATGATAAGGGAACAATTTGATGACAACAAAAATCTTACAGGTGGCAGAGAGCCATATTCAAGGTACAAAATCCTTAACCAGCCAAGATCCTCTCTTAATATCAAAGAGAGATCTTCGGATAAATGGCAAGGATCACGGTGCAGATCCCGCAGAACTAGGAACAATCCTATAAATACTATGTAACGCTCACAAGAGAGGGGGGACCCTAGTAACATACAATCGGTCTTGTAAATTTTTCTGATGATCAATAGAGAGAAAAGGAGCAAGAGCCTCCATTAAAGAGTGGATTTGTCAAACTTTCGAACTAGTGAACCACTATATTTTCATTATGTCAATCTCCCAATTTTTTTGTCAACACCAACCCTTATTTTTTTGAGCCTTGTAGCTCAGATCCTAATAGTCATACACTGCTCATCTCATCTGCTCAATATCACAAAGTTAAACCACATTGATTTACACCATCAGTTTGGCGCCGTCTGTGAGAACGACTGTTCCTGTTACAAACATGTTGATCTTTCAGTAACTGATGGTCTCAACTTGCAACATGAGCAAAAGTCAAACAAATCTACCACGAATGCAAGACCAACATGAAACTACCAAGGCATACAACCTGATAATGTCCCAGTGACAAATCCCCCCATGGGGAATCCCCCTACAAACAACGAGTTGGAGGCCCTATGCCTAGTTAATCAACATCTGCTACAGCATAATGAAGAGCTTTTGAAGCTCTTGCAATGCCCTCAGGAGACACAATCGGCCCAAGAAGGCCAGAATAACCCCCTCATAGAGAGCAACAACACCTCGATCCCCTCAAAAAAGTTAATGAAGGAGGGAAAAGTAGCCAAACCTTGGGGCCGGTTCCCCATCTACTCTCTAGGAATGAACATAATGAAGAAGTGCAGAGTTAAAACGATGGGGGTGAGAGGAACGATTTTTTCCCTTACTAGTGGGAGAGAAGAGAACAGTACTGGAAGCAACGCTTCAAGGACACCCAGCAAGAGCTCAACCATATGAAAGAAGCTGTGAAGAGCAAGACTTCAGTTACAATGGATGCCCTGGTGCAACAGACTGAGTCCCTATTCACCACTGGAGTGTTGCATTTTTCCCTCCTCCCAAAATTCAGAATGCTGCAGATAGAAGCTTTCGATGGGATAAAGGACCCCGTGGACCACCTCAATACTTACAAGAACCAGATGGAGCTCCATGGATACCAGGACCCAGTGCGCTGTAGAGCCTTTGCCATCGCGTTAAAAGGCTTAGCCCTGGCATGGTTCAATAAGCTCTCCCCAGCCTCGATTTCCTCCTTTAAAGAGCTTTTTATATCTTTCGTATCTCACTTCATAAAAGCTCGAATATACAAAAAGCCGAGCTACCATTTATTGAACGTGAAACAAAAACCCCAAGAGAACCTCAGGTCTTATGTCCAGCCGTTCAATTCGCAATCACTGAAAGTGGATGTCCTGGATGAGAAGTTTGTCATTATTGTGTTTATAGCTGGTTTAGGCGTACAATCCGAAGACCTGATCTTCTTTATTTCAAAGAACCCTCAGGCAAGCATGGTTGAGGTATTGGCTAAGACAGAAAAATACATAAACGGTGAAGAAGCTCTTCTCTCAAAGGTGGGGAGCTCATCTACACAAAAGGACAAAGAGAAAGAAGAGAAAAAAAGGGACCAAAGTCCCAGAAGAGAAAGATGATGTGATAGGTCTCCAAGAAGAGACAGAGATCGCTTCTCCAAAAAGAGAGGAGACGTCAGAGATAGCTGAGATCCGCCGCAGCCAAAATTACATCCGAGGTACGCACCTCGGTAGCTTCTTCCTCTCACCAAAACGATATCACAGATCTTACATGAGGTGCAGAATGAGAAATTCCTGAGGTGGCCACCTCAGATGAAAGCAGACTCGGCGACCTCAGCCTTGCGCTTATTTCCACTCTGGTTCTTCCTTATCAAGGATAATTTGGTAGTGCGATCCTTCGCAGTGGGCTCCATTGAGGAAGAACCTAGAACCTCAAGGAAGAACCGACATAAGAAAAAAAAAAGAGGAAAAAGGGAGGCAAAGGTAAAAGAGCAAAGGGCAAAGATGGAAAGAAGCGTCCTCTGCTACCTCCTCAGCTCTGACAATGGAGAATGGGATTAGGGCTTCTACTGTTACCTCCGAAAGGCTAAACCCTTCCCTTACTAGAACCTAAGGCTTAAGGAGCTCCGAATATTTTTCTGGGTCACACTTCTCCAATCTCAGCAGCACCCACTCCTCCTCAGCACTGAGCTCAGGTCGAACACCTGAGAAACAACATAAGGCAGGACAAAGTCAAGAAGGGTCTCCAAATCCAAGCTTTGTTAGTTTGAGCAAGGACTTACCCAAGTTATCGGGGGCAGACCAGGCTTTAGGGATTGGGAGAGTATCTATCTTATCTGCTAGATTGTACTCCCAGTGTTCTCCCCACACGAAGAAGAAAAGTTTCCTCCAGCCCTTGTGGGAGCTTAGAAGGTCAGAAATAACCTGTTTGGCCTTTGTACATTTAGAGATATACAAAAAACCCTCAGAGAAAGTAAACTTAACATTGAAACGCTCCATGAGTAAGGAAACTGTGGAAAACCCGAGCTTATGTTTCTTGAAGTAAACAAGGAGACCTACCAGGATAACTCAGAAGTTAGGAAACAACTGGGCAGAACAAACGTTGAAATGTTGTAGAACACTCTTGATAAAAGGGTGTAAGGGAAAACGCAGATCATTCTCAAAGGCAACAATAAAGAAGCAAACATTTTTGTGGACCTAGGAGATATATGGGGTAAATTTAGCCGGACACCAACACTGAACTCCTGGGAAAAAACCAAAGCGAGCACTGAGAACCTTTATGAGAGATGGGGAAACCTCACTAGGGCCAACGAGCTTTGCAGCTCTAAAGGCAGCTCCTACACCCTCGGCACTACCTGAGACACCAACTCCACTCACTTAGCCTCGTATTTACTAGAATTTTGGACACAGGGGAGGTTGATGGAAGAGCTCCCTCAGTGTTTTCCTCGGTTTCAATAGAATCAACACTATAGAATTTATCAATTTTCTCACCTACCTCATCTAAATCGGAATCACCCTCGGCAATTCTATCCCCGAGGAAGGAAACAGAGGAAGGGGTAGCCTCAAAAGAGGCAGACATGGTGGGACAAGAAAAAAGGAGTATAAAGGTACGATAAAGAAGATGAATATTTGTGAAACGCTCCTTAAGGGTCTGGGGAGCAACACAACAACTGCCAATAAGGAAGACCCTAGCAGTCGAATAAGGGTCTAAAAAAAGGGAAATACGGGACAGAGATCGACCTCGGTTCTAAAATAATAGAATCAAAAAGTCCAAAAATACAGAAATCACCTCAAATTTGAGAGATCCAGAACGAAGAGATAAATAGAGGGCAAGAAGTGTACCTAGGTAAAGGGGAACAATAGGCCAAAGCCAAAATCGAGGGTGAAAAGCGAATTTAGTTGAAACCACGGATTGAATCAGGGAAAGTCAATTTTTCAACGAAACCCTAGCAGCACCAACAGAATCAAAAGTTTGAAAATTACATGATGAAGAGAGGGAAAAGTGTAGAGAGGGAGTTCAAAGGATGAAATGAGTTGTTCCCCCTCAATTCGGAGGCATTTAAAGCTAACGTTACAAAGTGGAGAGCGTGCACGAGAAACTAGAAAGTAAAATGATTGCCTAAAACTGTCAAAAACCTATTCGCGTGTAAATCGAGGTTCGCGTCTGGAGGTCTGCCTTAATTAAGCCTCAGCTCTGCCCCTACCCAAGTTCACTTGGGCTAAAGGCTGGTGGGCAACTGATGATATTCAGAATAAGTTCCAAGTATGAGTTCAGGAGCAGAGGTTAGATAAGCAAGTCAAACCAAGAGGTCAGGGAAGACACGCAAAGCTCAGAAGATCAGAGCTAGAGCTTCCCCCCAGATGCGACAAACAACAGAAATGATAAGAGAACAGTTGGATGACAACAAAAATATTACAAGTGACAAAGAGTCATATTCAAGGCACAAAATCCTTAACCAGTCAAGATTCTCTCCTAATATTAAAGAGAGATCCTCGGATAAATGACAAGGATCACGGTGCAGATCCCGCAGAATTAGGAACAACCCTATAAATATTATGTAACACCCTCAAGAGAGGGGGGGATCCTAGTAACATACAATCGGTCTTGTAAACCTTTCGGATGATCAATAGAGAGAAAATGAGCAAGAGCCACCATCAAAGAGTGGATTAACCGAATTCTCGAGCTGGTGAACCACTATATTTTCATTGTGTCAATCTCCCAATTTTCCCGTCGACACCAACCCTTGT